TCCATCCCATGAACATCAAACTGTGTATCCGGGAACATTTATTGCGAATTTGAGTTCAGTTGACAATGTTTTTGAACCAACCTCTTCTGTAAATAAGCCATGCAAAGATCTTCCATCTCAACTGCAGGATCTGTTTGAGAGATCTAAAGTTAATCTAAATGGTGGTGAAATACCTAAATTACAAAAGTTCTTGACTAGGTATGCAGATATATTTGCAAGGTCAGACAGAGACTTGGGACGCACTTCACTGGTCAAACACACGATTGATACCAAGGATGCGCACCCACTAAATGAACCTCCTAGAAGAATTCCACATCATTTACAGGATGAAATGAACAAGCAGTTAGATGACATGCTTGACAGAAATATCATTGAGAAATCGAATAGCCCATGGGCATCAGGAGTCGTTTTAGCCAAAAAGAAAGATGGTTCTTTGCGATTTTGTGTGGATTACAGGCGTTTAAATGCAGCTACAGTCAAAGACGCCTACCCACTTCCACGCATCGACGACTCGTTAGACAGTCTTACCGGAGCAAAGTGGTTCTCAACCCTCGACTTGTGCTCCGGGTATTGGCAAGTTAGCATGGATGACTCAGATAAACTAAAAACGGCATCTGCAACTAAACGTGGTTTATACCATTTTAATGTTATGCCGTTTGGCCTTTGCAATGCCCCGGCAACCTTCGAAAGGCTAATGGAAACTGTTTTGAGTGGCTTGCAATGGCAAATATGTTTGGTGTACCTAGATGACATCATTGTTATCGGAACATCGTTTACCAACATGTTAGAAAATCTTACACAGGTATTTGATAGACTGTCATCTGCTAACCTGAAACTGAAAGCAAGAAAGTGTCACTTGTTTCATAAGACTGTTGAATTTCTCGGACATGTGATATCAGAGGAAGGAGTAAGCACAGATCCTTCAAAAATTTCTGCAGTACAAAATTTGTCTGTGCCTACTAATCTAACAGAGGTTAAAAGCTTTTTAGGCCTTTGCAGCTACTACAGACGTTTTATTCACAACTTCGCAGCAAAGGCAAAACCACTGAACAAATTGACTGAGAAGGGATCAAATTTCAAATGGACAGATGATTGTCAAGCATCCTTTGAATCCCTTCGACATGCACTTATCTCCGCACCAATTCTTGCCCATCCTGACTTTACACAGTCATTTATTTTGGATACAGATGCTAGCGACGTAGCAATAGGGGCAGTTCTTTCACAGACACAAAACGGAGTAGAAAGAGTAATTGCTTTTGGAAGCAGAACCTTATCAAAAGCAGAACGGAAATATTGCGTTACAAGAAAGGAGCTGTTGGCTGTTGTCTACTTTACAAAGTATTACAAACACTACTTGTATGGCAAGCAGTTTTTAGTCAGAACAGATCACAGTTCTTTGAAATGGCTAATGAACAGCAAGAATCCAGAAGGCCAGCTTGCTCGATGGTTTGAATCACTGAGCAATTTTCAAATGACCATTGAACACAGACCAGGGAATAAGCATGCAAATGCCGATGCGCTCAGCCGTTTACCTTGCAGAAAAGCATGTTGTACATCTTCTGAAAGTATAGTTAATACCATAAGTAGCGCAACACCTACGGATAAATTGTCTTTGAAAGCCAAACAAAACGGTGACAGAGACATAACTCAACTGATCAAATGGGTTGAAAAAGGTGTAAAGCCGGAGTCATCAGAGATTGCTGGTCAAAGCAACTTCATTAAGTCTCTATGTTCTCAGTGGGATGCTCTGGTATTAGAGGATGGAATGCTCTTCCGAAAGAAAAAGCACAAAAATGGCAAAGTTTCTCTGCAAGCTGTTGTGCCATACAGTGAAAGACGAACAGTATTAGGACAGTTCCATGATGAAAGAACTTCTGCACATCTTGGGATAAAGAAAACATTGGCGAAGATAAAATGCAAATACTATTGGCCAGGATTGCAGAAAGATGTTAAATTGTACATTGCTGGTTGTGAAAAATGCCAAAGGCGAAAATCACCAAATACTACTAAACGTGCCCCAATGCAAGTTGTCACTTGCGGCGCACCAATGGAACGTATTGCTACAGATATATTAGGCGAACTTCCTATGTCCAATAATGGTAACCGATATATACTAGTCGTATCGGATTACTTTATTAAATGGACAGAAAGTTTTCCTATGGCAAATATGGAAGCCGCAACTGTAGCTAAGGTGATAGTGGAAGAAGTCATAGCCCGCTTTGGAGTGCCTGGAACTATTCACTCCGATCAAGGAGTCCAGTTTGAAAGCAATCTTTTTACAGAAATGTGCCGGCTTTTGAATATAAAGAAAACACACACCACCCCGTACCACCCCCAATCGGACGGGATGGTCGAAAGATTCAACAAAACTCTGGCTACCATGTTATCAGCCTATGTCAATGAGCACCATACGGATTGGGACGAACATCTCCCATACGTAATGATGGCATACAGAGCAGCAGTCCACGAATCAACGGGTGCAACTCCAAACAAAATGATGTTAGGTAGAGAGGTCGCTACACCTCTGGACATCGTATACGAGGTCCATTCTGATATTAAGAGAATTCCGCAGAATAGATGGGTTTGGGAGTTACAAGAAAAATCAGAAGAAGCACATGCAGTTGTCAGGGAAATGACAAAAGAGAGTATAGAACGACAGAAGTGGTACCATGATAGAAAGTTAAACTGGCAGTTGTTTAAGCCAGGTGACAAGGTTTACGTTTACTTCCCAAAACGTAAGACCGGTACATCTCCCAAATTCACGTCATATTGGCAAGGACCATTTGATATTATTGAGAAATGTTCCAATGTTACTTATAAAGTAAACTGTGGATACAGAGGTGCAAACCAAGTCATTCATACTGACAGGATAAGGCTAATGAAAGACCAAATCCTAACATCAGAACCTTTGCAAGCAAATAACATTGCAGAAAATACAATGTCTGATTCCTCTGAAAACATTGCTCAAGATGCCGAGGAAACATATGAAAAGGAGAGTTTTCAGGCAGATGGCAAACGAAAGAGAAGCAGACCAGCCTACCTTAGTGATTACGTCTCTTTCTGAATATGTAAATAAAAATCAGTTTGGTAGGAAATACTACTGCAGTTTTAAAGTTCAATGTTTTTAACCTTGTTATACTCTTGTTAACCTATGCGAGGACGCATAATTTTTTTCGAAGGCGTGGGTAATGTAATGAAACGGAAAATCATATTGGATTGAAATGCCTTTGAAATAGACCAATCGAATCATTATATAATTGACCAATCAGCGCTTGATATTATAACCAATCAGAGTTCCAGAATCATCAACCAATCATTAGTAATTAGAATAAGGTATAAATACAGACGCCCATGAAGATTTCGGCTACTTGGTGGTAACTCATCGCTTGGTTAACACCTCCTGGACTAGGTTCTTGGGCTGTGTCGGGAAACAACAGAATTGTTAGTTAAACCACTCAGCTCAGGAACCTAGTTCCTTAATAGTGTGTCTCAGTGACTATAGTGTCTTGGTGACTTAAAATAGTGTCTTGGTGACTTTTAATAAAAGGTGTCTCAGTGACTTTTAGGGTGTGTTTTTTAGGTAGTTGCAGACTGTGTCGGGAAACAACAGGATTGTTGGTTAAACCACTCAGTCTGCAACTACAGTGTTATAACTTCATATTTGATTATTTTCTTGATCGTTAGTGATTCAATTGTGGTTGATTCTTTTCTTATAATTCGTTGTCGTTAAGTTCATATTTGTTTGCTAATCATTTATCCAGATAGGACCGAGGAAAAAGTATATACACATAGTGAATTTCAGTCAGTTTCTTGTTATAGTGCCATTGTTGTTGAAGTTTGTTTGATTCATATTATAAACGTGATACTTAGGAAGGAATCCTAAGCGGACCTATTAAATAATTATTTGTACTTTGTAAAAACGTTACACTTGCTTCACTAACATCTATCAATATTCCTTAGAGGGTCACGCCAGAGGTTTTTAATTTTAATTAGATCGGGATTCGTTAAGCTATATTTATATATTTTCAAGAGGCTCAAGTAAATGATGTGCAGGTCAATCCAAATTGAACATATCATTTCTCCAAGGATGAAACCAAATCTCTTGTGTACACAATCATTGATATTGTTAAAGTTAACAGACACCAGATCAGACCACTTCAGGACTTTTATTTTAGATGAAGGTGGAATACAAACCTAATAGTCAACAAAGGAATTCACCAATTTGATTCTGATTGGCTACTATTGATGTGAAATTGTGCAATTTTTATCCCAAGTACTTTTACATTAATTTTGCTTGAAGACATTATACGAGGGGTGAACAAAAAGTTCGCGAACTAATTGAATAACTTCCATAAAAGAAACTATATTTGGTTTCAGTGTTGATAATATTTTAATTGGTCCTCTCCGATTTTAATGCACATTTGCCACCGTTCTGCTCATGCGCAAATCACGTGATATTGGCGACAAGATTGCCACTTTTCCTAAGGATTAAGAATAAAGTTAAAATCTGTGAAGGTGCAAGGATGTGTCAATCAAGTTTTAATAACTTTTAAATGAAATAAGATTTTTAATTAACTTTAGTGTGAAATGCTATAAAAATATACAATTCGTGATATTATACAGAAAATATTAACTTCAACTCTGTGTCCAAGTACCTTTAAAGCTTGTTTCCACTTTTGAGCTCTTCAGACTTATAAAGAAGTACATGTAATAATTGATCTCTCTTCTATATCCCTCCAAAATTAACCTTTCTTATCTGTATTTTCTACTCCTACATTTGTTATATACCTTTTTGAGATGCATTTTGCAAATTTGCAAAATTTTCTGACCTGACACTCATTTGCCCATTATGACGTCAGTACAATAATTCAAAAAATGTTATCTTTTGTCTCAGCTTGATCTTGGGAAGTTCATACTTGACACTAGACAATGCTGTTATATTTTTATGCACCATCAGCAAGAATAACTGTTTATTTCACTATAAATTTGAGGTTGTTCTTATTAATATTTAATCTGTGGACTGTAAGGCACATAAACATATTAGCAAAAAATGGTAACGTTACTTAGATGTTTCCTACTTTGCCTGTTAAGCGAGTGTTTTATTGCTTTTTCATTGCTGAACAACCAAAATTATAGTATTGGAAATATGTCTGGAGGACTAGTGACTAGTGACATGAGTGATGCGTTGGAAAATTCTAATAGTTTCCATCAGCTTCTAAATCAAGAAGCTCTTATTCGAGTGGCTCTGGTACAAAACGTTCACTCTTTAATGAAAGACATTATGACAGTAAAGAATTCAATGCTCGTGTTGGAAACAACTTTGGAAAAATTCAAACTTGCGACCAAAAAGACAATTTTCCAGTTAGAAGCAGAAATAGAAAAGCTTAAATCGGAAAACCAGCGTTTACGGAACGATTATGCAGATAAACATAGAAAATTAATTCCCTATGATAATGAAACATTACAAACAGTTAAAGACTCAATTTCACAAATGCAAAAAAGTTTTGATACAAGGTTACAAATGATTGAAGAAAGGAAAGCGAATGTGTCTTCTACTGAAGCTTTGGAGACGTCTTTGACAAAAGTTTCAACTGAAATTGAAAGTAAGTAAATAGAACTAATGTGCTTTATGCACACTATTACTATTTCTAGTCAGTTTGAATAAACCATTGATAAAGAATTTTATAGCAGGATGCATATAAATATCGAAGGAAAGTTACAGATATTTTAAAATTACAATTATCATGTTAATATGTTAGCAAGTTTAAATCTTTTTGATAAATAAATACAATTCTTTGAAAATTTACCTGTCTAAATGTATCATTTTTTCATCGAAATAGTATCTATAAATTATGCTTTTGGTTTTCATCTATTATGGTCGTACAATTGAATAATAATTGAAATCCATCGTCAATTACGCGTGAGCTATCGTAATATTGATTTAATTATGGTTGCATCAAAAAGTTTTTATGGAGAAATAAGACGATATATAAAAGGATATACATGTAGTTCTTATTAATAACGCATAAATTAAAATCATGATTCAATAATTTAAATATCACTACATATTTAAGTAGATTTTTTAAGGAAGAGCGGGACATTGAGCTGAAAAAAAAATCCAGTCAGTTATTTTTTTTTCATATTTCTAATTACATGTATATTACTAATTGATTATGTCCTTAATATTTAAATCAGTCTTATCACTAGATTTTAAAGAAATCGCCCCACAAATATCGCCCTGTATAGTTTTTGTATAAGTTTCGATTCTTCATGTTTACGGGTCCATTACCGAGTCAATAATGCGAATTTTTACGCACAGATAATAAATATATTAGATAATACGATCCATCAAAATATTTCAGAATATTCAGAGAGTTTCAATTATCTGAAAGCATTTTTTGAATTTCACATTCTATTTTGGTGGGATAAATTTTGCACTTTTCAATACAGCTTCAAAGATTAAAACCTCATTTTGAAAAAAAAAAACTATGTCAATAATAATGGCTAAATTTTACATCAATATCAACTATGACGTAATCCGTCTTTTGAGTCATGTGACATGTGCCCTGTTTCCACTTAAATATGTTTTAATTTGTACGAGAAATATGAATTAACAAACATATTATAGATTGTAGTTACAATTTAAAGTAGGTTGATCGCAATTTTTGTTTTGTGACGCCACAAACTAATCGGATTTTGTATTATTTTTTAGAAAGAAAAAAAAAACGGACAAAATTTACAATAACATATTTGAACTTTCTCCTTCACTACTGTTTAGGCTTAGTACAACATTTGCTGGATCCCACCATGCATCTTTGTTCGAGTGGCTTTAGTAAAAAACGTTAACTTTTTAATGAAAGACATTTTTAACATTAAAAAAATCAAAGCTCCTGTTGGAAAAAATCCAACTTCCAACTAAATGACAATGTTCCATTAAGATGCAGAATTAGAAAAGCTGAAATCGCAAAACTAGCGTCTACATGTATATAAAGAATGATAATGCAGATATGTGTAGAAAATCAATTCCTTATGTGATCTGAACATTTCAAAAAGTCAGACTCAATTTTACAATGCAAGAAGTTTTTGACACAGGGATTTTACAATTTTTTTTTCAGGGTTACAGACAATTGAGGCAATGAAAGCAAACGTGTCATCTATTTCAGCTTTAGAGACGTCTTTGACAAAAGTTTCCTCTCAGTTGGGAAGTAAGTTAATAAAACTGATATGTTTTATGTGTTCTGTTATATATGAGAATATGTGAATAATGTCCTTATCTGACCAGTGAATATCTGGGAATACAGTTGTGCCATTAAAGTCAGACAGGAACTCGAGCCATGTATCTACGTCTTCGCGAAGTACCCTTGATATAGTTATATAATGGTGTTGTTTGTATGTTTATAATGCTATAGTCCTTGTGTCTATGTGAGCGGACCTCAAAATTACTTCGAATTAACAGTTTTTCAATTTAACCGATTTCATTTTACCAAGTATTGTTTTCAAAGAAACTATACCATTTTTTAGGGGAATGCAGATTCATTTTAAAGTAACTGAATTTTTTTCAATTAAGAGAGTTTATTGTGAGTTCGAGTGTATTTACAATACAAATTATGACACATGACTGTGTTCACTATACCTTGTCAGTCGAATTCATTCATACTGCATATTCCTCAAACTCCAATTTACTAATTTATTTATCTGCTAAAACACAACAGAAGATGATACCACTCACAAGATACCAACGGATAACATGATGAGTTAATGAAATTATGAAAATGAAAAGATAATATCAATTTATTAGGCCTATAGTATCCTTGTGAAAAGCCCGCGCTTTTGAAAATAGTTTGCGTATATGTGCATTTAGTAGCATATGTGCACAAAATGCTCTATCGCAATTAAACCCTAATAAGATAAATATCTTATTTGTCTTTTAATTTAGTTTTTAAAAAAAATATTGATTTACATTTCCAAAGACTGAGATGTTAAAAATCTGTGTTTAAGTTTCGTCTCTCATTTTGACTATTTGTTTATCGGGAATATCAATCTGCCTGGACGCTGTTTGATTTTTTGTTTACTTTTTCTGTGGAGCTATTTATAGTTACTGTAAGAAAGGTGTCCGTCATGGCCTATAGCCAGGAATTTGCTTTCAGCAAAGCCCGGAAAAAAATCCAACTTGCAACTAAAAAACACTTTTCCATTAAGATGCAGAATTAGAACAGCTGAAATCGGAAAACTAGCGTCTACATGTATATAAAGAATGATAATGCAGTGTTGCAACCACTATTGAAATAATTATATCAATAGTGGTTAAGAGTGCATTTCAATAGCAAACACAGTTAGTAACCACTATTGAAATACAACCACTATTGAAATAATTATATCAATGGTGGTTGAGAGTGCATTTCAATAACAAACATAGGTAATAACCACTATTGAAATACAACCACTATTGAAATAATTTTATCAATAGTGGTTGAGGGTGCATTTCAATAACAAACATAGGTAATAACCACTATTGAAATACGACCACTATTGAAATAGTTATTTCAATAGTGGGTGAGAGTGCATTTCAATAACAAACATACATAGAAACCACCATTGAAATACGACTACTATTGAAATAATTATTTCAATAGTGGGTGAGATTCATTTCAATAACAAACATAGGATGCAACCACTATTGAAATAATGTTCATTTTTGAAATAAAGATTTCAATATGGATAAAATTATTGATTTCAATAGTGCTTTGAACAATGAATCCAATATATATTGAAATAATTATTTCAAAAGTTGCTGACGCGATGAAACTTTTCTTTCAATACTGGTAGTTTTTCAATAGTGCTGAAATCTATGTTTACCATATTGAAATGCACTCTCACTCACTATTAACTAATCATTTCAGTAGTGCTCGAATTTCAATAGTGGATGAAACCTATGGTTATTATATAGAAATGCAGTCTCACCCACTATTGAAATAATTATTTCAATAGTGGTCGTATTTCAATAGTGGTTACTAACTATGTTTGTTATTAAAATCCATTCTCAACCACTATTGAAGTAATTATTTCAATAGTGGTCATATTTCAATAGTGGTTACAACTATGTCTGTTATTGAAATGCACTCTCAACCACTTTTGATATAATTATTTCAATAGTGGTCGTATTTCAATAGTTGTTACTAACTTTGTTTGCTATTGAAATGCAATCTCAACCACTATTGATATAATTATTTCAATAGTGGTCGTATTTCAATAGTGGTTACTCACTACGTTTGCTATTGAAATGCACTCTCAACCACCATTGATACAATTATTTCAATAGTGGTCGTTATTTCAATAGTGGTTGCAACAATGCAGATATGTGTAGAAAATCAATTCCTTATGTGAACTGAACATTTCAAAAAGTCAGACTCAATTTTACAATGCAAGAAGTTTTTGACACAGGGATTTTACAATTTTTTTTCAGGGTTACAGACAATTGAGGCAATGAAAGCAAACGTGTCATCTATTTCAGCTTTAGAGACGTCTTTGACAAAAGTTTCCTCTCAGTTGGGAAGTAAGTTAATAAAACTGATATGTTTTATGTGTTCTGCTATATATGAGAATATGTGAATAATGTCCTTATCTGACCAGTGAATATCTGGAAATACAGTTGTGCCATTAAAGTCAGACAGGAACTCGAGCCATGTATCTACGTCTTCGCGAAGTACCCTTGATATAGCTATATAATGGTGTTGTTTGTATGTCTATAATGCTATAGTCCTTATGTATATGTGAGCGGACCTCAAAATTACTTCGAATTAACAGTTTTTCAATTTAACCGATTTCATTTTACCAAGTATTGTTTTCAAAGAAACTATACCATTTTTTAGGGGAATGCAGATTCATTTTAAAGTAACTTAATTTTTTTCAATTAAGAGAGTTTATTGTGAGTTCGAGTGTATTTACAATACAAATTATGACACATGACTGTGTTCACTATACCTTGTCAGTCGAATTCATTCATACTGCATATTCCTCAAACTCCAATTTACTAATTTATTTATCTGCTAAAACACAACAGAAGATGATACCACTCACAAGATACCAACGGATAACATGATGAGTTAATGAAATTATGAAAATGAAAAGATAATATCAATTTATTAGGCCTATAGTATCCTTGTGAAAAGCCCGCGCTTTTGAAAATAGTTTGCGTATATGTGCATTTAGTAGCATATGTGCACAAAATGCTCTATCGCAATTAAACCCTAATAAGATAAATATCTTATTTGTCTTTTAATTTAGTTTTTAAAAAAAATATTGATTTACATTTCCAAAGACTGAGATGTTAAAAATCTGTGTTTAAGTTTCGTCTCTCATTTTGACTATTTGTTTATCGGGAACATCAATCTGCCTGGACGCTGTTTGATTTTTTGTTTACTTTTTCTGTGGAGCTATTTATAGTTACTGTAAGAAAGGTGTCCGTCATGGCCTATAGCCAGGAATTTGCTTTCAGCAAAGCCCGGAAAAAAATCCAACTTGCAACTAAAAAACAATTTTCCATTAAGATGCAGAATTAGAACAGCTGAAATCGGAAAACTAGCGTCTACATGTATATAAAGAATGATAATGCAGTGTTGCAACCACTATTGAAATAATTATATCAATAGTGGTTAAGAGTGCATTTCAATAGCAAACACAGTTAGTAACCACTATTGAAATACAACCACTATTGAAATAATTATATCAATGGTGGTTGAGAGTGCATTTCAATAACAAACATAGGTAATAACCACTATTGAAATACAACCACTATTGAAATAATTTTATCAATAGTGGTTGAGGGTGCATTTCAATAACAAACATAGGTAATAACCACTATTGAAATACGACCACTATTGAAATAATTATTTCAATAGTGAGTGAGAGTGCATTTCAATAACAAATATAGATAGTAAACAAATTGAAATACGACTAATATTGAAACAATTCTTTCAACAGTGGGTGAAATTCATTTCAATAACAAACATAGGATGCAACCACTATTGAAATCATGTTCACTTTTGAAATTAAGATTTCATTATGGATAAAATTATTGATTTCAATAGTGCTTTGAACAATGAATCCAATATATATTGAAATAATTATTTCAAAAGTTGCTGACGCGATGAAACTTTTCTTTCAATACTGGTAGTTTTTCAATAGTGCTGAAATCTATGTTTACCATATTGAAATGCACTCTCACTCACTATTAACTAATCATTTCAGTAGTGCTCGAATTTCAATAGTGGATGAAACCTATGGTTATTATATAGAAATGCAGTCTCACCCACTATTGAAATAATTATTTCAATAGTGGTCGTATTTCAATAGTGGTTACTAACTATGTTTGTTATTAAAATCCATTCTCAACCACTATTGAAGTAATTATTTCAATAGTGGTCATATTTCAATAGTGGTTACAACTATGTCTGTTATTGAAATGCACTCTCAACCACTTTTGATATAATTATTTCAATAGTGGTCGTATTTCAATAGTTGTTTCTAACTTTGTTTGCTATTGAAATGCAATCTCAACCACTATTGATATAATTATTTCAATAGTGGTCGTATTTCAATAGTGGTTACTCACTACGTTTGCTATTGAAATGCACTCTCAACCACCATTGATACAATTATTTCAATAGTGGTCGTTATTTCAATAGTGGTTGCAACAATGCAGATATGTGTAGAAAATCAATTCCTTATGTGAACTGAACATTTCAAAAAGTCAGACTCAATTTTACAATGCAAGAAGTTTTTGACACAGGGATTTTACAATTTTTTTTTTCAGGGTTACAGACAATTGAGGCAATGAAAGCAAACGTGTCATCTATTTCAGCTTTAGAGACGTCTTTGACAAAAGTTTCCTCTCAGTTGGGAAGTAAGTTAATAAAACTGATATGTTTTATGTGTTCTGTTATATATGAGAATATGTGAATAATGTCCTTATCTGACCAGTGAATATCTGGGAATACAGTTGTGCCATTAAAGTCAGACAGGAACTTGAGCCATGTATCTACGTCTTCGCGAAGTACCCTTGATATAGTTATATAATGGTGTTGTTTGTATGTTTATAATGCTATAGTCCTTATGTGTATGTGAGCGGACCTCAAAATTACTTCGAATTAACAGTTTTTCAATTTAACCGATTTCATTTTACCAAGTATTGTTTTCAAAGAAACTGTACCATTTTTTAGGGGAATGCAGATTCATTTTAAAGTAACTGAATTTTTTTCAATTAAGAGAGTTTATTGTGAGTTCGAGTGTATTTACAATACAAATTATGACACATGACTGTGTTCACTATACCTTGTCAGTCGAATTCATTCATACTGCATATTAATTCCTCAAACTCCAATTTACTAATTTATTTATCTGCTAAAACACAACAGAAGATGATACCACTCACAAGATACCAACGGATAACATGATGAGTTAATGAAATTATGAAAATGAAAAGATAATATCAATTTATTAGGCCTATAGTATCCTTGTGAAAAGCCCGCGCTTTTGAAAATAGTTTGCGTATATGTGCATTTAGTAGCATATGTGCACAAAATGCTCTATCGCAATTAAACCCTAATAAGATAAATATCTTATTTGTCTTTTAATTTAGTTTTTAAAAAAATATTGATTTACATTTCCAAAGACTGAGATGTTAAAAATCTGTGTTTAAGTATCGTCTCTCATTTTGACTATTTGTTTATCGGGAACATCAATCTGCCTGGACGCTGTTTGATTTTTTGTTTACTTTTTCTGTGGAGCTATTTATAGTTACTGTAAGAAAGGTGTCCGTCATGGCCTATAGCCAGGAATTTGCTTTCAGCAAAGCCCGGAAAAAAAATTCAACTTGCAACTAAAAAACACTTTTCCATTAAGATGCAGAATTAGAACAGCTGAAATCGGAAAACTAGCGTCTACATGTATATAAAGAATGATAATGCAGTGTTGCAACCACTATTGAAATAATTATATCAATAGTGGTTAAGAGTGCATTTCAATAGCAAACACAATTAGTAACCACTATTGAAATACAACCACTATTGAAATAATTATATCAATGGTGGTTGAGAGTGCATTTCAATAACAAACATAGGTAATAACCACTATTGAAATACAACCACTATTGAAATAATTATATCAATAGTGGTTGAGGGTGCATTTCAATAACAAACATAGGTAATAACCACTATTGAAATACGACCACTATTGAAATAGTTATTTCAATAGTGGGTGAGAGTGCATTTCAATAACAAACATAGATAGAAACCACCATTGAAATACGACTACTATTGAAATAATTATTTCAATAGTGGGTGAGATTCATTTCAATAACAAACATAGGATGCAACCACTATTGAAATAATGTTCATTTTTGAAATAAAGATTTCAATATGGATAAAATTAATGATTTCAATAGTGCTTTGAACAATGAATCCAATATATATTGAAATAATTATTTCAAAAGTTGCTGACGCGATGAAACTTTTCTTTCAATACTGGTAGTTTTTCAATAGTGCTGAAATCTATGTTTACCATATTGAAATGCACTCTCACTCACTTTTAACTAATCATTTCAGTAGTGCTCGAATTTCAATAGTGGATGAAACCTATGGTTATTATATAGAAATGCAGTCTCACCCACTATTGAAATAATTATTTCAATAGTGGTCGTATTTCAATAGTGGTTACTAACTATGTTTGTTATTAAAATCCATTCTCAACCACTATTGAAGTAATTATTTCAATAGTGGTCATATTTCAATAGTGGTTACAACTATGTCTGTTATTGAAATGCACTCTCAACCACTTTTGATATAATTATTTCAATAGTGGTCGTATTTCAATAGTTGTTACTAACTTTGTTTGCTATTGAAATGCAATCTCAACCACTATTGATATAATTATTTCAATAGTGGTCGTATTTCAATAGTGGTTACTCACTACGTTTGCTATTGAAATGCACTCTCAACCACCATTGATACAATTATTTCAATAGTGGTCGTTATTTCAATAGTGGTTGCAACAATGCAGATATGTGTAGAAAATCAATTCCTTATGTGAACTGAACATTTCAAAAAGTCAGACTCAATTTTACAATGCAAGAAGTTTTTGACACAGGGATTTTACAATTTTTTTTTCAGGGTTACAGACAATTGAGGCAATGAAAGCAAACGTGTCATCTATTTCAGCTTTAGAGACGTCTTTGACAAAAGTTTCCTCTCAGTTGGGAAGTAAGTTAATAAAACTGATATGTTTTATGTGTTCTGTTATATATGAGAATATGTGAATAATGTCCTTATCTGACCAGTGAATATCTGGGAATACAGTTGTGCCATTAAAGTCAGACAGGAACTTGAGCCATGTATCTACGTCTTCGCGAAGTACCCTTGATATAGTTATATAATGGTGTTGTTTGTATGTTTATAATGCTATAGTCCTTATGTGTATGTGAGCGGACCTCAAAATTACTTCGAATTAACAGTTTTTCAATTTAACCGATTTCATTTTACCAAGTATTGTTTTCAAAGAAACTGTACCATTTTTTAGGGGAATGCAGATTCATTTTAAAGTAACTGAATTTTTTTCAATTAAGAGAGTTTATTGTGAGTTCGAGTGTATTTACAATACAAATTATGACACATGACTGTGTTCACTATACCTTGTCAGTCGAATTCATTCATACTGCATATTAATTCCTCAAACTCCAATTTACTAATTTATTTATCTGCTAAAACACAACAGAAGATTATACCACTCACAAGATACCAACGGATAACATGATGAATTAATGAAATTATGAAAATGAAAAGATAATATCAATTTATTAGGCCTATAGTATCCTTGTGAAAAGCCCGCGCTTTTGAAAATAGTTTGCGTATATGTGCATTTAGTAGCATATGTGCACAAAATGCTCTATCGCAATTAAACCCTAATAAGATAAATATCTTATTTGTCTTTTAATTTAGTTTTTAAAAAAAATATTGATTTACATTTCCAAAGACTGAGATGTTAAAAATCTGTGTTTAAGTATCGTCTCTCATTTTGACTATTTGTTTATCGGGAACATCAATCTGCCTGGACGCTGTTTGATTTTTTGTTTACTTTTTCTGTGGAGCTATTTATAGTTACTGTAAGAAAGGTGTCCGTCATGGCCTATAGCCAGGAATTTGCTTTCAGCAAAGCCCGGAAAAAAATCCAACCTGCAACTAAAAAACACTTTTCCATTAAGATGCAGAATTAGAACAGCTGAAATCAGAAAACTAGCGTCTACATGTATATAAAGAACGATAATGCAGTGTTGCAACCACTATTGAAATAATTATATCAATAGTGGTTAAGAGTGCATTTCAATAGCAAACACAGTTAGTAACCACTATTGAAATACAACCACTATTGAAATAATTATATCAATGGTGGTTGAGAGTGCATTTCAATAACAAACATAGGTAATAACCACTATTGAAATACAACCACTATTGAAATAACTATATCAATAGTGGTTGAGAGTGCATTTCTATAACAAACATAGGTAATAACCACTATTGAAATACGACCACTATTGAAATAGTTATTTCAATAGTGGGTGAGAGTGCATTTCAATAACAAACATACATAGAAACCACCATTGAAATACGACTACTATTGAAATAATTATTTCAATAGTGGGTGAGATTCATTTCAATAACAAACATAGGATGCAACCACTATTGAAATAATGTTCATTTTTAAAATAAAGATTTCAATATGGATAAAATTATTGATTTCAATAGTGCTTTGAACAATGAATCCAATATATATTGAAATAATTATTTCAAAAGTTGCTGACGCGATGAAACTTTTCTTTCAATACTGGTAGTTTTTCAATAGTGCTGAAATCTATGTTTACCATATTGAAATGCATTCTCACTCACTATTAACTAATCATTTCAGTAGTGCTCGAATTTCAATAGTGGATGAAACCTATGGTTATTATATAGAAATGCAGTCTCACCCACTATTGAAATAATTATTTCAATAGTGGTCGTATTTCAATAGTGGTTACTAACTATGTTTGTTATTGAAATCCATTCTCAACCACTATTGAAGTAATTATTTCAATAGTGGTCATATTTCAATAGTGGTTACAACTATGTCGTTTATTGAAATGCACTCTCAACCACTTTTGATATAATTATTTCAATGGTGGTCGTATTTCAATAGTTGTTACTAACTTTGTTTGCTATTGAAATGCAATCTCAACCACTATTGATATAATTATTTCAATAGTGGTCGTATTTCAATAGTGGTTACTCACTACGTTTGCTATTGAAATGCACTCTCAACCACCATTGATACAATTATTTCAATAGTGGTCGTTATTTCAATAGTGGTTGCAACAATGCAGATATGTGTAGAAAATCAATTCCTTATGTGAACTGAACATTTCAAAAAGTCAGACTCAGTTTTCAAAATGCAAAAAGTTTTTGACACAGGGATTTTACAATTTTTTTCAGGGTTGCAGACAATTGAGGCAATGAAAGCAAATGTGTCATCTGTTGCAGCTTTAGAGACGTCTTTGACAAAAGTTTCCTCTCAGTTGGGAAGTAAGTTAATAAAACTGATATGTTTTATGTGTTCTGTTACTATTTTCTAATCAATTTGAATTGCATTGAAGTCTATCAAATTCATCAAAATTTTATAATTGTTTACAAATATTTACTTTAAATATACAATGGTTAAAAACTTTCATTACATGAATGGTTGTAGATATTGAAGAAAATGTATAGATTTTCAAAAAAAAAGTCTAGAACAATTCAAATGTTTTACTGAGCGGGCATACTGAGATGGTGAACCAGCTAACCGCTTACGTTACAGGGTAGGCGGGTAGGCGGGTTCAACTATATCTTATTTGTGTTCGTTGCCTTTCGACAGAACTGCAGCTAAATTAAATTTACTTCATGACATGTCAAAGTTAGAAGGAATAAGAAGATGTATTGATTGTCTTCTTAGGCAAAATGCGTTCTGTCGATCCGTCGAACCAAACAGTTTGGTTCTTGGATCCGACAAAACACACACTGCTCGAGAACAGTAAATAAATGTAAATTTTGATAAATTAACCCAAAGTCAACTGTTTTTGATCAGACTTTTTAAAAGAAAATTTTGTAATCTCTTGTTTAGCTTTCCTTTTCTTGTTTTACAGGGACATAAATATTGTCACATAAATTGTCATTGCTGATTTGTTTACAACTGACATTTTCTATTAATTTTCTTCGTAAAAATTACATCATCAGAGTAATGAATTGAACTCGAAAATTATAACATTCCAATGACAACAGTATTTTTTTTAAACATTGCATTATGTAAAGGGGTGGGTCTGTTATTGTTTTACCTCTTAACTAACTTTGATAATTCTTTTTAAAGGATGACTTTGATAATTCTTTTTAAAGGATGATCTTTAAAGGATAATTATTTTGTAAAAAGACGTGCAGGATATTTGACATTCAAAAGCAAAAGATACGCGTATTTTTCAAGTTAAATATTTTTTTTCAAATTCCCTTTTATTATAGGGTATATGATATATCGGTCTGAAACGCTCTTGCAACATTTCAGTAATGATATTATACAAAATCTTTGAAAAATACAAACCTTAGTTATGTATTGAAGCCCCAGAAAGCTAACAAATTATTAACTTTGCTAAATTTGTAGACTTGTCAAAGAGAGTGGCTTTCACTGCTGGTGTGACGTCTCATAGCAGTTCCTGGAACAGTGGTACCTTAGTGTACGATAAAGTCATCAACAACGTGGGAGAAGGATATAACCCGAACACCGGAATCTTCACCGCACCAGTAGAGGGAGATTACGTGTTCTATGTCAGTATCCAAAGTTACAGTGCCAGCAGTATATTCGTAGACATTGTTCTAAATGGATCTAACAAGGTCCGAGCAATGGCTCACGTTACTAACCCTAATGATCAGTACGAGACAGGTACAAATCTGGTGACATTCAGGCTGCAGCAGGGGGACACGGTGTGGGTTAAGCACTACAGTGGTCAAGGTTATTACACCCACAGTGACGCTCCGGATACCACCTTCTCTGGATTCCTCATATAAGAAATGTCCATAGTGAATATAACAGCAGTAGAATAGATACTTTTGTAATTAATAAAGATTACATGTCATATCAAACGTACATTAATATTTTTTAATTAGACTAAACAATTACGAATAGTTTAGGATGATTTATCATTAAATTTTACTGATATATGTACTTTTTAAAAAGATTAATGGATTGTGAATTTAACTATTAAAGAAGCCAATTTCCACTAACTGTTTTTTCTTGACTAAGCGGTAATTTGTTAATGGGTATCAAGTTCAAGTTCTTTATTGACTTTGAGCTTTATAGCTCAACAGTGCAAACAAATACAAACATGACTGTACAGGTTTACAGGAGAATATGATAATTATTTACATATGATACATGTATATATGACATAAATAATTATTTTTACATATCTTTTCTAGTTTTTAGGTTAAAGTAAAAAAAAAAACCTAAGTTCTTTCACATTTTCAACATTGATAAATTGCAACAATTTAAACATTAAAGGTTTTTTTTCCAAAAATAAGACTTTAATCATTTTGTACGGTGCATTTCATAAGCAGGACAGATTAAAATAAAATGAAATTCATCCTCAACAAAATTTGAACACAAAAACAATTTCTACAGTGTCTTTCTGTATTACTATATCGACCCGTTTCAATTGCCAATTGGTGTGATGACAATCTCAGTTTAGAAATGCCTTTTTGATATTTTATTGGTATGGGTTTCCCTAAGTAAAATTGTAAATTGTGATTTGCAATTAAATATCTGTAAAAAGAAGACCATTTCCTAGAACTATCTATTTAAGAAAGAATATTCCGTCTTTCTTGGTCAAAAATTCTTTGCTTTACACTAGAAGGGACTACGCATGAAACTATTGTTTTTCCCATAAGTCAAACATACTTAAATTGCATAAAAGGCTTTGAACATCATTTGACAACCAGTTTTTTTTTGTTTTGTTTTGTTTTTTTTTGCATTATGCATTTTTACACACTTATATAAAACACTGTTACAATGCTGGATGATACAATTTTTTTGGTCAAGAATTTTTTTCCAAAATTTGATTATATTATAAATTCAATGGTAAAGCAGAGGATATCGTCCTAATTCAGAATATACAGCTACATTTCATGTTGTCCTTTTAACTCCATATGTATGTTTACAAAAATCAAGATGTAGTTTTTCAACATTAGGTGATTTAAGTTAACCCTAAATTTCCTACCCATAATTTAAGATACTGCCCACAAAACAATCAAACAAAGACAAATTTCATTTCACTTGATTGAATAGAACTCATGTTAGCCAATTTTTAAAGTAACATGTTTTGTTATCACGGAGTACGGTTAACCAACATTGTTAAGTCAAAAACATCGTCGAAAAAAGTTTCTCAAAATTGCTCTGCTCTTTAATTTTATACACGGTTTGTAGCGTCTTCTACATTAAAAGAAACTTATCCATAACATTTGATACCTAGTTTGCTAACAATTGTGTAGATAGCAAATAGCTTGAACTTACGAAAGCCCAGAAGGCTCATTCGAGATTCAAGTTTCGAAATACGAGATTCAAAATTCGAGATTCGAAATTCGAGTTTCGAGATTCAAGATCCAGATTAACCAATCAAAAGGCTCATTCGAGATTCGAGGTTCGAAATACGAGATTCGAAATTCGAGTTTCGAGATTCAAAATCCAGATTAACCAATAAAATGCGGATTCAACATTTGATTACTCCCCTTTATTATGTTTTATCTATCAATAAATCGTTTAATATATTTATAACAAATGAGTTATTTGATTAAATTACAATGCAAGAAAGAGTGTTATATATATTAGAAGGAAAGTTAAATAATCATCGGGTTTTTGATCAGCAAGATATACTTCAATTTATATTATGACTTCTTAAATATTAAATAGAATACATGTATCATATATATATATATATATATATATATATATATATATATATATATATATATATATATATATATATATATATTTTTGTATTATCTACTTTATGTAAAGGGTTGTTGACATAATAAAAAAGTTATAAATAGTGTCTAAAGATTAACAAAATCCCCACCCCTACCCGCAACACCTGCCAATTTTTCCCGACACTGAAAATGTTACTTTAAAAACTTGAAAGGCAATGTAGCCCCGAAAAATAAAAACCGCGTTCGTTTTCCTAATAGAGGGAATACATAAAAATAAAGTTTTCAATTACTTATCTTCATCTAAGGCTTTGATTTGGTTTTATATTTTAGTCTCTGACCATAGCGTTATGGTCAAAGATTAAAATATACTCGGTTTTTATCCATCAAGGCTACATTGCCTTTCAAGTTTTTAAAGTAACATTTTCAGTGTCGGGAAAAATTGGCAGGTGTTGCGGGTAGGGGTGGGGATTTTGTTAATCTTTAGATACTATTTATAACTTTATTATGTCAACAACCCTTTACATAAAGTAGGCAATGCAAAAATATATATATATTCCTGATATATGTATTCTATTTAATATCTAAGAAGTCATAATATAAATTGAAGTATATCTTGCTGATCAAAAATCCAATGACTATTTAACTTTCCTTCTAATATATATAACACTCTTTCTTGCATTGTAATTTAATCAAATGACTCGTTTGTTATAAATATATTAAACGATTTATTGATAGATAAAACATAAAAAAGGGGAGTAATCAAATGTTGAACACGCATTTGTTTGGTTAATCTGGATTTTGAATCTCGAAACTCGAACCTCGAATCTCGAATGAGCCTTTTGATTGGTTAATCTGGATCTTGAATCTCTAAACTCGAATTTCGAATTTTGAATCTCGTATTTCGAAACTTGAATCTCGAATGAGACTTCTGGGCTTTCGTATGAACTAGATTGTCAGTGTTTTCAAATTCTTTAACCTTATTAGTTTCGCAACAGTGCAGTGCACATCACGTTTAATGACGTTTCTAACTTTTTTGACAAGATTTTTAACTATAACCTGTTTTTTGCAGACCATACATCGTGCGATTCAAACTCGCTGCCACTCAAAATTGTATTTTCCGTTTTATACAAATACACGGTTTGTTTTTCATATTTTCATGGTTTATACAGGATTTTTTAAGTGTGTTAAAAAAGTTTCCCGAATGCAAAGCAAAATTTTATTGCTACTCGCTGCTCCTTGACGTCCTCCAACGTCGTGGTTTTTTGTCTTTTTATATCAAGTCCATATGTATTTAGAAACATATCTTTTAAACGGAGCAATATATTACATATACATTACCTGAAAGCATCTTCAGTAATACAGAAATACTAAATTTAAACATGTAAATTTTATTGCGTTTCAGCCCCATTTATTAGAGGTATCGCTATAGGTACTGTAAAGTGAAAGTTAGTAAATTACTCAATTTCGACGTTGTTCTGTGAACCCATTTTTGCTGTTCTAAGTCTTTGATAATTTTTATAAATCTGAAAATATATTAAATCTTTTACTCAAATTATTCGAATTTGTTGTTAAAATACTTGTACCAAATTTGGATATAATATGACGTTAAATAAAAAGGTAGGACAAAAGTCTACGAACTTTTTGAATGAACCTCGTATGTAAAGTGATCAATAATTTCCATTTTTCACCACTTTTCACATTCTTTCACTATTCACCCCTTTTCTAAGAGCAACAATCTTTGATTTCTGCACAGTAATTTGTAACTTCCATGTTTCACAATAGTTTGATAGTTGATCCAACAGCGATTGCAGACCAGAAACTGTATCAGAAAAGAGCACCATATCGTCTGCATACATGAGGAGAAAAGGGTTTAATGATGAAATTTCACATGGTACACATCTATAATTTAAAAGGTGCATTCAAAGTCATATACATGTTGAATAAAAAAGGTGAAAGAACTTCGCCTTGCATTAAACCGAGGTTGCTACTAAAAATGTTACTCAATTAACCTTCAGAAGTTACACATACTTTTATATTTTTATACAATCCTTTTAAGATACGTAAAAGCTTGCCTTGAATACTAATTTAAGACAATTTCAACTAAAGTTTGGATCGATCAACAGAATCAAAAGCTTTTTTAAAATTAATAAAGGCACAATAAAGTCTTTTATTCTTTGAAATTGGGGTAGTTATTAAAGAATACAGAGCAAACATGGCATCACTAGTTCCACATTTTGGTTTAAAACCGAACTGAGCATCAGTGACAACATTATTATATTCTGACCATGAAAACATCGGAGGTGAATATTTTACATAGGTTACTGACAAAACTAATTCCTCTATAATTGTAAGGATCAGAGACCGGAGGATCTCCATTTTTTTAAAACAGGCACAATAACAGAAGTTGACCAACATTCGGGGGAAAAACTTGTATGTAAATACAATCAAAATTTTATGCAAAATGGACAAAAAATATTCTTCAAATTCGATAAAGTATACATTGAGTATACAATCTTCACCATGAGATTTGCCTCTTTTTTAAATTCTTGATAGCAATTTCAATTTCATTGATATCTATATCTTTATCAAATTCTTCAAAATAACAATCATCAATCTCACTGGAAATTTCATTACCGTCATCCAAGGTTCTATTATATTCAATTATTATTGATTCAATTATTATGCACAATAATTGAACACAGGGTGCATTGTGTTAACTAAAGTCAACCAGTAATGCTAAAACCCAGCTTAATAATAAAACTTATCTTAAGCTTTGTAATGATTTATAATTGGACATGATCTTTATCCAACGAGTTGTGCTTTTTATCCCCGAGCCTTGGAGAGGGAAAAAAAGCACACAACGAGATGGATATAAATCATACTGTAGATTCCTAGTTATACACGTGGAAATAAATATCGCGTATTTTCGCGAGAAACACCATTTGAAAAAAAAAAATACTCGCCTTTTTAGCTCACCTGAGCCGAAGGCAGTGGTAGTGGCCAACTTTTTCAAAGCCAATTTACTATCACTTTTTTTCCCTACACTCCTTGATATCCCTATACTATGGTAAAAAATTGGGGGGGGGCAACCCTCCTTTCGATTAGCATTTACTATAGTTAAGGTAATGTTTGGGAAAAAAGGGGGCAGCCCCCCCCCTGGCCCCCCTGTTGCTACGTCCCTGTAAAAATAGACGGTTTTTTATACTGATAATGCTTAAGGTAGTCCGATCCCCGGGTTTATAAAATCAGCAAAATTACTCATAAAAGTATCTCTGCATCCGCAAAGTTATGTAAATTTATCCACAGTATTTCTTTAAAGTGAAAGATTAAAGTAAATAATATTATATAGGGAAGTTTTTTTCAAAATTCAATATTTTTGCAGAAAAAGCGAATTGGAATATCACCAATGCATTTTCTAATTGCAAATTGATCAACAAATATATTTTAGGTTAAAAAACGATAGGTGTCTAGGCATTCGGAGAAATCGTCATGATTTCTATACTTATTTTGC